GAAACAAACTTCTCGTAGCGTACAAAGAAGCAGACAAAAAACTAATTTATAATAATCGATTGCTAGCCATATATGCGTATATACGAGTACATTGTATAAAGTATCGAATACAAAAAGGAAAATAAAATATACAGCTACAAATAAAGGTAACCTATGAGTTGTAAGTGGGGCATAAGGCTTCTAGTGCTAACGATTCACTACGTGTCCTGAATTGTATATTTCTAGAAAATCTACAAGAACTTTTATTTTTAATATATCTTGCTAATACAATAAAATTGTGAGTAGAAGATATCTGTACATGGGAATTATTTAACGAATGAGATCATGATTTTTTATATGAAAGAACGATAAACACTAATAAATATCAAGACAATAATTTTTAGTGCTTTTGTCTGTTTGTCTATCTGTCTGTCTATATTTTTGTTCCGGCATCACGCAAAAACTATTGCACTAAATTGTATATGGTGACCACAATTGTATTCTTGAAGGTCTGACTTAAAATCTAGTATACGTTTTACCTCGATACGTCATCTACACGATTCCTATTATATTCTTCGTAGGCGTTGATTTCTATATTTGAAATCAGCGCCTACAAAGTAGCGGGCGAAAAGCTAGCACAAAATAAAAAACTTTATCATTTTTATTGGCGAATTCAAAAAGGGATAAACTTTAATTTAATTATACGAAATACGAAAAGTATCGCATAATATGCGATATTTTTCTCAATCCTAAATCGAACCAATTTTTAACAGAAAAAGGTCATACTCCCATGTTACCTTATTAGTTTTGCGTTCACTGAAGTTGAAAGTTTTGTAGAAACAATCTGTTTCTTATTCTGTTTTATAAAAACTGTTTTCTACTCGTTTTTCAACTACATAACCGCAGAATCTATTGTAGCAATTATTATTATATTACTTAACAATTTTTGTACTAATTACTTAGAAATGTCATGGATATAGTATTATCTTTATCACAACTTTAGTTTCAGGTCAATAAAAGCAAAACTGATTCTAAGATTTACTTGTTGAATTAACACGAGTTTAGTATACTCTTCCAAGTGACCGGGTTTAGAAAGTGTATGTATCACGTAAAATGTAGGGGATCACCAACCATCTACCATTTCCCTCTGAGCAATAAATACGGAAGAACGATATATTACTCTGTAAGGGACTACACTACTACATCTTGTACACTTAAATACTGTTTAACATAATAAGAACTACGATACACAGTGGAGTTGATTGTAAATGCTATTCTCTTTAGCTGTACTTAAAATTTAAATAAATACTTTAGTGAAAATAAATTATAAAGTAAATTACAAATAACGAAAAACAAAATAATTCAGAATCAAAGATATTGTAAGTAAGTTCGTAATTTTGCTATAATACTAGATTCAATTTAACATTTTAGAGACGGCTACCTACACATTGATGTTTCAAAACTAAATATTATATACATTTATACAAAAACAGGCTGCAGAACAAAATAACGGTTTTTTTATACGGTACCTTTGTAATTTTAAACATATTGTTTGGGTAAAATACAAAATAGATATAGGAAAAAAATAAAGAGAAACTGTCTTGTCGGTTTCCGCAAAATTATCGTAATATTAATGCTAAATAGATGATATTATTCCTTTCTCTCCTGTGGATGGCGAAAAAAGCGACTAAGAGATTCAATAGTCGAGGAATGGACAGCGGCATCCCTCTTAAATTATCATCAAAGCCTAATTGCGGTTGGCAACCTGTCTGCCAAATGTGGCCACTACTGGTAAAATTCTCTGGACGATTAGCGGCTGATGATGATGATGATGAGATGAACTTTTAATATTTTTTGGTATTGTAGAGCAAATTCCTAGATGCGTTTAAAAAAATTTTTTCATAATAACAACGTGAATATTAAAAAGCTTTCGAAGAACGCTGATTTGTTTAGTTACATACTTGTTTTTCTTTTTGTTTTAAAGTCACATTTATTCAACATACAATTAACAAGTTGAACTCAAAATTAATAACAACGTTTTAATCGGTAGCCGATAATTTAACTTTCACTGCATAAATTCTAGTTTTAAAACCATTATTTAAAGACCACTATCACTAGATAAATTATTAAACTCTAGAAAGTAACCCATGGGAATGCTTAGATACCCTTACTTAATGAATGGTCTACGTGACATGAGATATCTCTGTACAGAGTTTGTTTAATAGTTCTGAAAATTTCGTTAAATTATAAATTACAAAGTTTAATAATTTAAAACTGTCTTAAAAACACAACCTATTATTAATGAAATAAATACACAAAAAAAAAATATTGACATTAATCAATTATCGTCAAATTAGTAAACTTCTCTTTTTTAAAGTTGTTTAAAAGGCCAACAACTACAATTTAAATCTAAATTTTCAATATTTACAGTGTCATAACAATCGACTCGACGTAATATAAATAAATAAATCTAATTAAAAATATATATATACTAATGAAAAAAAAAGGAGAACTTGAAATAGAATTCTGCACCGAGCCATTTGATCAACGTAATAAGTAGGCTAATATAGGGAATAACTTCATAGGTTTACTATGGATTGAACATCACAATAAGAAAGTCTATGAATCGCACCCTAATTGTTAAACGTACAATTCGTCCTTTAGTAATGCAGAGATTTTATATTTAAACTGAAATCGTTTTATAGGAACACATTTCAATCTACGATAAAGGCTAAGTCACAAATCGAATTCATGTCAATAGATACGGTAAGGTACTGAAGCATACATCTTCAAAGAGAATACCAAAGCACCAGAATGTGACGAGAGAAATTCAATCTTACTTGCATCCGTGAGTTGTAATAAAAAAGCTGTCTAATATATATATCTATCGGATTTAGAAGTCTCTTACTATAAAGTTCATCACTTTATAAATTTATTTTCTATGATACGAACATAGAGAAAATAAAACTGAATCGTAGAAAATATGGTACTTTTCGTTAACTTGTTTTTCAATACTTCTTTCTGTGCACTTTAAATGCAGAATAAATATTTCTGTACCTTTTTTTCTTTATATGATATTATCTACACGAAATCTTAATATATTTTGATCAAATTTTACGCTTACATTTATTTAAATTATTAAGGGTTACAGACTCAATATATTTCAATATAATTGTACAATATTATAATTCATAAAATTATCTATGTTATTCATGGGTATTCCTATAAACAGTTATCATAAATTATTAAACCATTAAGTAAATTTAAATTGAGAACATTTGATAGTACTAGGTATATTTACATACTCGTATAAAGAATATTTTGAATATACACTTATTATATTTTTGTCTGACTATAGCGTAAAGACCACTAACACGATTATGAAACCTTACACCTTTAGCTACATGAATTACGTATCTAATTGCTTTAATTTTCTAAACATTTTATAGCCTGTATATATTATAGCTTACAGAAAGGGACAAAGGGACAAAATTGCGGTTCAAAGTATACAATAAGGTCGTAACATAAACATCGAAAATGAAATATCGGGTGAAAACCCGACATTATTATTATTTGAAATGGCTATAAATACTTGAATGAAAATGACATAAATAACCTGTATTATATATTAACACGTTGATACAAATACTATTACAGAATGAAATAAAGAAAAAAAAAAGAAGAAGAATAGAAGTCCTACGTTAAGTAACGATGATTTACAGAGGTAAATCCCAATACCTGGAACATATCGGTACTGTAAAATCAATTTACAGAATTAATAACTGACATAGTTAAAGCAGAGAACAAAACAAATTAATACTCCGAGTTCTGGTAGAGTTTACGAGTAGATATGTTTTTCATAGTTCACTTTTGATTCAAAGATCATCATATCTACGGGACAGTACAGGCAGGAATAATCTATTTACTAATTATGTAAATTTTATACGAGCTCATTATTTGTTTAAAATTCTGTATTGTGCGTTTCATAATATAAAAAAATAACATTATTATTATTTAAAAAATTGTATAACTTTATTGACATATAAATATATTTATAATGATATAGACAAATAATAAAAATAGTAACTAGTACTCTATAATAAAAGTATTTTGTATCATAGATAATAATGCAATGAATACACGTAACAATACATTGAACTAGAAAAATAGAAAAGTAAATCCATGTTTTCTATAGAACAAATCGGATCTCCATATTATGCATACAAGTATGACTGTACCATTACAGACAAATCTGATTAAATTTGCAAATCTGAAAACATGCTTAGTTCTTACTGTCAGCGAGTGTACGTACATTGTGAAAGCAGCAGATTTCTTTTTTAAAAAATGATAAAGTATTCATTATTACGGGTTGTTATTATAACCTGTCTGCGTTATCAGTATACGTCGGCGAAACAGCAGTGAGTAATAATTAATGAGGATGAAAGCAGATGATCAGTTGGCCCATCGTGACAAATTCATCAGAAATTAAATACGATGGTTTTCAGGGAAGACCACGTGGAGGTCGGACTGACAGGGTATATTTTTAGCAACGAGGCCGCCTGTCCCCTTTACTAACAATACCTTGTCCTAGCAGAATTTATTAGAACCTCGGCGAATGTAGCGGCCAACTTCGGGCGTTCCGGTTTGGCGAATTTATGAGCGAACAAGCTCTAATGTTCTGGCTCAGATGCTATTTAAAACTGGATAAGCTAAGCACATTGTCTTAAAGTCATTTAAATGCTAATCTAAACCAGATGTTTTGATTATATATCAATTTCACTAACATTAATGTAAAAGTTTGTAAAAATATCTTAAACTACTGAATATATTTTAATAAACTTAGTCATAAAGATAGGTCATCATTAAAAGATCGTTATAAAAATTATATCAATAATACTAAATTTCAAAGAATCCTATATTATAATGATTTTAGGATGTTTGATAACAATCACACATAAACAATAGAACAAACTTATATCTCATATTATGGACTATTATAGTTTGAATCATTAAGCAAGGATATGGGTGTATTAATTAATCAAAATCAAGAGATTCAGAAGTCGATGGAGTTTATTTCCGGTCAATATGAGGAGTTATTGCTTAAAGTGGGTAATTTAGAGCATGAGAATGTTGAATATAGAAAGCGAGTAGCGAATCTGGAAGGAAAGTTGGAGGTGTTGGAAAGAAAAACTATCAGTTCTACTATAGAAATTAGAAATATACCTAAGCAAAATAATGAAAATAAACAAATATTAACAGATATAGTCAAAAATGTTGGCACGGCACTATCTTTGGACATGCCAATAATGGACCAGGAAGTAAGAGATATTTACCGATCTAAATCAGAGGCTATTGTCATTGATTTCACCAGCACTAATAGGAAAGAATCACTTCTGACTTCGTTCCGATATTACAATAAATCCTGTCGAACTAACAAGAAGCCGCAGTTAAATACTCAAAACATTAATCTTCCAGGTATGCCTAGGGCTGTATTTGTTTCAGAATTTTTGACTAACAAAGCCAGGCGACTTTACTATATTGCTAGAGAAAACGTGAAAAATAAGAAACTTTTGGCAGCATGGACATCATTTGGAAAAGTATATATAAAGAAGGAAGAGAACCAGAGACCTATTCGTGTTGAGAATGAAGTTGATATTAGTCAAATTATCTTGTGACTTGATGTTTCTCTTCAACAAGAATGGACTTTACGCATGCCTATTATTATTTTTTTATATTTTATTTTACTTTTCTATTCTATACTGTTTTTATAAATATATCGTAACAATAAATTTACAAATTATCTGGGATACACTTTATCATATCACAGAATCATACTTTATCACTCTTCTTGAAATAAATTATTTTTATTTTTTGTTATCACCTCCAAAACAGACATTACACGTACACAATATATACTTTAACTTCACGCATGTTTTTTCTCACTTTAATTCTGTTACTTCAATTATGTTAAATATGATGTGCCTTGCAAACCCATTTATTAAAATTCGATTTTCTAGATAACGAAGCTTTGAATCTGGGTCTAGATAGTTTTTCAATAGCCAAAGCTATTAGGTGATATCGCTGATATTAGAGCTCTCATACCTAATTGCAGACGTAAGTTAAAAATATTAACCCAAAACATAAGAAGTATTAACTGCAACATGACTAACTTTATGACTCTTCTTGTACGATCAAATATTGATTGGGATGTATTAATACTTACCGAGTGTTGGCTTCAGTCTGCATCTTATATTCCTGATTTGGATGAATACAATCACATTACAACAACGTCTCATAAAACTCAGAACGAAGGTTGTGACGGTTCGCCTATAGTACAATAGGTTTAATACCATAAGTACATAGAAAGAAACAGGGGTTCCTATGGGTGACCGCTGCGAAAACTGAGCTATTTAATATAAACAAACTTTAAAGTCAAGGTTCACAATAGCGTACAGAGAAGACGTTACCATATATGAAATATTGACACAGAAGGGAAACTTCTTTGATGTGTTTCCAAAGTGTAGTGGATGTCACAAGAAAATTAAATAAATTAAACAAAAATATATTATATTTTATATATAACCAAATTATAGTTTACCTTTTTATCATCAGGTGTAAAAAGGATGCATACAACACAGTTTAATAAGGTTTATGAGAGTCTTTAAAGTTTTATAAATTCGATAATCAATTTAATAGAAAATACCAAAATAAGTTAACATATAATTAAATTGAATTTGAAGAAAAGTTCAGTTCGAATAATAGGCTAAATCTGGTTATTGAAATATCTACCCTTCGGTGACATAATCTATGACGTTATTAGAAAAAAGAAGGAAAGAAAAAAAAAGGAGACGGCAGATCGGCGGGCGCGCGGGGGTCGCTTTTGAGGAATTGCGCAGAAAGAAAAAAAAGAAAAAATGGCGCAGGAGTCGTGTTTTAAGGAACTGCGCAATAAAATAAAAAAAATAACTAGGATATAGATCTAGGAGGGACTGGTTCGATGAAGGGGTTTGAGATCTTAGTGTATCACTATGGAGTAAGTGTGTGAAATTAATCAATAGAAGACTGGAGAATCCGGTGAGCTTGTTCCATTTATTACTACGTAGTTAGATTTTTGACTGTGATCACAGGCAAAGTCTATACTTAATATTTTTCTCAACAGCTATTAAAATACGTTATTAGTCGAGTCCATATACTTTTAGGTAATGCGTATATCGTTAAATGCAATCACATTTGAACAAAGTTTACATCAATATAATTTACGTACTTACGTTATTCTACTCATATACAAAATCCAATTATATGGTTGTTTGATAGAACTTCATCAATTTGATTCAATGTTCTAATTGTCCAGTTTTGGAAAATACTTATTAAATCAGCTATTAAACTATTATAATACTAACTAGATTCATATCTAGTTACTATAAATTATTATTTATTGAGGATAAATAGACTGAGGTGGCTGTGGTCTGGTCTCATTGCTGGGGAAACAGCCATTGATGAGACAGAGATGTTATTGAGTGGCGACTCTGTGTGTGCGAGTGCGGTGTGGGCTACCTCCATTGGTTGGAGTGACTGTTTTATGTGTATTGTGGGGGTCGGTGGATGCAGGAGTTTGGGGCCGTTCCTAGTGGCAGTCTATGGGGAATTGCCTGTGTTCAGTCGTGGATTGGTGATGGTTGAGACGATGATGATGATGATGGAATAGTTGTATTTATTACACTATTACAGTGTTGATTTGGAACACCTGCTCATGCTTAACGTCTCATGGTAAAGTGTTTTCATACCATTGCTCGGTCGACTGTACTAATGATTCTTTTGTATACTTTTAATTACCCATGATTACATGTGGGAATTTGTTTTACACCAGATGTACAGAGAAACAGCTTAGCTGTTGCAGGTGATTTTATGTGAATGTATTACTTTTAATACATTATTGTGTTAGTAGATAAATTCATGTAACGGTGGGATGTTTATGGTAAACAAGCCTGTATTGTTTAAGTAGATATTTTGTCTTGATTTATTATAAACTTTAATATTGATTTTATTGTAGTAAACAAGCTGATAATAACAATTCTGTGTGTATTACTGGTTTCTAATAATATTTAATTATGCTGATATTATAGGTGTGGATTTAATTCCTAGTGGTAATAAAATTATCAAAGGATTCTCTGACTATAATTACTATTAACTAGGTAACTGTACCTCATGTACAGTATAAAATTAGTACTAAATGACAAGTATGAGTTATATTATTTTACTCATATTTAGGAAGAAAGTTGTCATGGCGATAAGGTTTGTATGTGTGTTGTTTGTTCATGCTATATTGACTAGACAAGTTCAGACAGGGTTAAAATTAGTGAATCTTTATTGGATTTATATTTAATATACATATTTTGAATATTTATGGGAATAGAATGGAGATATACAAGTAGTAAAATATAATATTAGTATTTTATAAAATTCATTATCGAGTTAGTTGTATATGTTGGGCTGTATCCAAGGAGATATGAACCTATTAATATCAAGTTAGGACAATTACTTTAAATATTAATAAAGCAAACACTAACACTGATTATTCACTTCTTTAATAAATTTACATTAGAGGTTAGGAATCAAATAGATAGCATATTGGGAAATCTTCACCACACATGTATTTGAGGAATGTTCTTGATAATTAGTACTGTATGTATATATTATTGCAAGTACAATTGCAATAAGAATGTTAAACTTCTAATCTTCTGTTCATTCTTGAATTTGAAAGTAAGCTTGGCTACTGATATGAATATAAAACTGCAGTATTACTGGATACTATTAATTATTACTGGTGTAAACCTTGATTATTTATATCACTGATAATTTAGTTATATATTACGGTTGATATATGATGATTTTATATTTAATTATATTAAACAAATACAAATAAACAAACTTGCTAGTATTTGTTACGTTGACAGATGTGATAGATAATGAAAATTCAATTCGATACATCAATACGTCATTGAAGTGACAGACGTCAAACAAAAAAGGAGATTATACACGTTATGATTCTATATCTAAGTCTATAGAAAATTTATATAATTTTCTGTTATTTTATAATAACTGTAGGGGAAATATTGGAATTATTTATATGAGAAATTTCACTTAAATGATATGATAATTATTTAAAGACCTAATTTCTTAGGGATTTAATCATGATGATTTAAACACTAAAACACTTGTTTATCTGAGAAATCCTCTTAGTAAATAGGTTTACTAAGACACTAAAAGGAAGTAGATATAGTATAACTATAGTACAGCTACAATAATTGTATGGGACTTACTGTCCTTTCTATACAAATATATATTTAATCTATATCTTTCACATTATAATTATGCAATATATTGCCTCTACTACTACAACATACACAAATAGGACTTATTGTCCTTCCTATATACCTATATATAATAATTGACCTGGCACTTTAATGTGTAATTTATCAGTACTTATGACAACAACCAATTAGGACTTATAGTCCTCTCTATAAAGCTACATAATTATTTAATCTGATTATTTCACAATGTGATTAATCAAACCTCTACAAATATTACAAAAGATCTCTATTACTCTCAACACAATAATAGCTTGTTGGACTTAGTGTCCTCAAACTTATAGAAAACCTAACTGGTTATTTCACGAGACGTTGTTAACTTGTGATTAATCAGTGTCTTTTAAAGGACTTATAGTTCCTTTAGATATATCTCTCTGAATAAATAATTGGTTAATTCACAATGTGGTTAATCAACAATAATATTATATATAATTGACTGGACTTATAGTTCATTCAATAGCACTCATTACTTTTAGTAGCTCTCGACCTATGGGTTGGACTACTCGTTCTTAGGCTCTGGCCTAATCAACAGATGTAACTTGAACCTTGAGTATTCTTGGTATTAAGTAAATAATATTAAATTGACAATGCTATGTTATGATATAGCAATTATCAACATTATATGGCTTGGCCAATTCCAGGGTGTGGAAGGTATCCCCTATCACACAAATCTTCATCTCTATCGGACTGTCTTCACAGGTGATCTCTAATGTCACATTATAGGGCCGAAGGGTTATGTCCCATCAAAGTAGGTTCTGGTGTCTGGGTGATCTCGCTTCTTGGTCTGATCTCTTGTGGAGCCGAAGGGAAACCCCCATTGAGTAAGCTCGTAACAGGGTGACGCTGGGAAACAGTTTCGTACTGTTAGTGGGTGATCTCTATGTCGCCATATAGGACTGAAAGGGTCATCGCCCATGAGTAAGCTCTCGTGTCGGAGTGATCCTGGGATTTCAGTTCCGATCCTTTTGCCTCTGGCAAACATTAAATTATACTGGAAGCATCGTGGGGCTGGTGGAGCCACTGTAATGTTGAAGTAAATGTACTTATGTTTGGTTTGGAACTGAGAATACTCATGCCCTTATTACCATCAGAGTGCATTAATAAATAGTAATACCCTTCCCTACCTTTTAGGAGGAAGAGTTATAGATAGTTGGAAAGTCTTCCACTGGTCCGGGCGTGTGAGGGGCCCGACCGCTCCCCCATTTTTTTATTATTACAGTTATTCTGTAATTTACTATTAAATTAACATAACTTCCTTGTTACATGAATTATGAGTATAATTCATTAATTATTCTTAATCATTAAAGATTTATCAATCATCTTCATTATTTAACTCCTATCATATACCAATTAAAGAACCTTTTGGTTATTACACACACAATGGGTCCTACATTACTAGACGATCACACATTTATTTATCTGGCCAGATGATCAAGTGTTCTACTATAAGATCTGTTCAATATTAAGTGTTTATTGTAAGGGTTTATATGATTCATAGGATGTTTGGGGTGTATAAGACAATATAGGTATGGGGTTATATTGAGGGTGTTAGGCCATTCTTTAGGGTAAGTTTTCATTAGATTTTCATGGGTTTTCATTAGATTAAGCCTTCGTAGGTTTTTCATAGGCTTTGTAGGTTTTCAATGTGTAGCTTAGTTCAGAGGGTAGTTATTATAAGGGGTGCAAAGGGGGGGGGGACCATCACAAGGTGTAGTTATTTATTATAAAAAGAAATATAACGTCAGGATTGAGGAACCGGAGTTAAATGATGCTAATTGTTTATTAATAAAATTGTGTTCAGAAATCTGCATCATTGGTATATATCGCCCACCTAGCCAATATAATACAATTAATTTTATAAACTCAGTTGATCTAATATTGAGTAACCTAAATAATTTTAAAAATATCATTTTATGTGGCGATATAAATATTGACATAGCAGACTGTTCCTCGGATAAACGTTCTAATGATTATCTCAATCTGTTGGCTAGCCACTGTATGTTGCCTGCTCATAATTTACCTACACGTGGTCATGCATGTCTGGATCACATTATGATCAAAACAAAATTGGAACCTATTTGTACTGTAGCTGAAACTTCCATAACTGATCACGAAAGTGTAGGAATCTTTCTTGATATCAATAATAAAATAGATTATTCAAAACAGCCAAATAAAACCATTGATTTTGTTGGATTGGATCGAGCAGTGCAAGGTTTAAATTTCGATCCCATATTTAAATGCTCTGATGTTAATGTGGCAGCGGCACTCCTTAATTCCTGTTTAAATAGAGTTGTTGAGGAAAACACCAAAATTGTTACAGTTTCTAGAAGAAAAAAAATATACAAACCCTGGATAACCATTGGTCTATTGCGATGCATGAGAAATAGAGATAATTTACACAAAAAAGTAAGAAAAGACCCAGATAATGAAATACTTAAAACAATTTATAAAAGATACAGAAATTTCTGTAACTCTATTTTAAAAAAACAAAAAAGAAAATATGAAAGCCAGGAAATTGAAAATGCAAAACATAATAAAAGAAAACTGTGGGAAATTATTAGATCTGTGGGTGGATCTGCAAGAAATATTGACTATTCGCTTGGACTTATAAAACCTGACAATCCAAAAAAGAGTGTTGATGATGTTAATATTTTTTATGCAAACGTGGGGAAGCGATTAGCTGAAAAAATCGATTTGAATATATCTAACATCAGTCATAACTCTGGTTGTGCAGGACCGACAAAATCATTTGTTTTGCTCAATACTGATGAGAAAGAGATTGAACAACTTATCTTGGGCTTGAAAAATAATTGCTCAGCAGGAATAGATCAAATATCTGGTACAATCGTTAAGCGATATATGCATGCAATTATTCCTCCCTTAACTTATATTTGTAATCTCGCAATTGCTTCAGGTGTATTTCCTTTAGTTTTTAAAATTGCTCTTATTAAACCAGTACATAAGAGTGGTGATCGTGACTGTGTGGATAATTTCAGACCTATCTCAATTCTCCCTACCTTATCCAAAGTTCTGGAAAGGCTGTTGAATAAAAGACTAATCCATTTTCTGGAAAAAAACTTTCTCCTTTCTTCATCTCAGTTTGGATTTCGCTCTGGAAGGTCAACAGATGAAGCTGTACATGAACTAACTAATTCAGTTGTTACTAACCTTGATGAAGGAAAGAAATGTCTTACGATATTTCTTGACTTGGCCTGGGCATTTGATACCGTTTCTATTCCTTTACTTGTAGAGAAACTTGAAAGAATTGGTATACGAGGTCTTCCTTTGAAGCTTTTTAAGGATTATTTATCAAACAGGAAGCAACGGGTAAAGATTGATGAATGGATTAGTGATGAAATTGATATATGTTTTGGTGTTCCACAGGGGAGTATACTTGGGCCTACGCTATTTCTCGTATATATTAATGAATTGTGTGAAATCCAGCTTAAAAATGGTCGTATACTTACCTTTGCTGATGACACGGCTCTCTTCTTCAGCGGTGATGATTGGGAAAGTGTTTTCCAAAGTGCGCAACAAGGTTTTGATAAGGTATGTGCCTGGCTTCATAGTAATATTCTGACTCTCAATGTTACTAAAACTAAATATATAGCTTTTGGTTTCAGGAAAGACCTCTTACCTTCATTGTCTTTTACTATAGTTGCCCATTCCTGCCAGAACTCAAGCTCTGTCGTTTGCCAATGTCCGTCCCTTCAAAGAACAGCTACTATCAGGTACCTTGGTGTAGTTATAGATCAAACATTAAACTTCAGAGCTCATATTGATATCTTGGTATCTAAACTTCGCAAACTTATTTACATCTTTAAGAACTTAAGGCATGTGGCTAATCGCCGTGTGATTAAAATGGTATACTTTGCGTTATGCCAGTCTTTGATTCAATACTGTATTTCTTCTTGGGGAGGTGCTGCTAGGACTCATCTTCTGGAGGCCGAAAAAGCACAGAGATTGATATTAAAAGTTGCAGGTGCACTCCCATCTCGCTATTCTACTACAGAATTATATAAGAAATGGGACGTGCTAACAGTCAGGCAAACATTTATAATATCAACAATACTAAAAAAACATTCACAGATGTTGTTTGATCCAAATTTGAAGAGTCACAAACGTCGTAAAAATTCTGTTTGTTCTACTAAAGCATTTAAAAAATGCTTCTCAAAAAAGTTTTATTGTTTTCTAAGTAGTTACTTATATAATAAAATCAATGCTCAGTTGTCAATCTACCGACATCATAGGTATGCTTGTAAAAAGCTCATATCCAATTGGTTAAAATCACTTGACTATGATGCTACAGAGGCCTTACTTATCCCACAGATGTGAGAAAATAACTAACTACCTTAATTTTTAAATGAATGCGTACAAACACAAATACACACAGCGAGAGACACGCACAGACACACACACACACACGCGCGCGCGCGCGTACACACCCACGCACACACACGAACGCGCACATACACACACACACACACACAACTTCCAGATTAAATTATAATATCTCTTTCTATAAATTATATTTATTACATTGAATTTTTTATTGTATTACAAGTGCTTAGTAAGTAACCCTGCGGAGTGAGGCCCTGGTGACCTGTAATACAGGTATTCTTATACCTATCTCAGGCACCAGTCTCTCACAATTATATTTATAATTTGTTTAATATAAGCATTGTATTTCACTGTAATGAATTGTGAAGAGAAATAAATCTGTTTATTATTATTATTATTATACTATATGTACGTATGAATAAATGAAAACCCTTTATTTTATTCATTTACTCTAAAAACAGGGCCTTACATGTCTTTTTAAACAATAAATCTCTACTAATATCATCATCATCATTATATCACTCCTTAACTGTCCACTTCCGAACATAAACCTCCCCCTATTGCAGGCGGATTGGCAACCATAGTTAATCTTTGGATGTAGATAGATAAATGGAGATGTTTTAAGAGGGACGCTGCTGCCCGTCCTTCGCCCTCCCATAGTCGCCTCTTCGGACACTCACGGGAATGGAAAGGGTGGCCTATTCTATGTCGGTACCACACGGAACCACTAATATACTTGTAATATATATCTGAGAATTAGTTTTTTGTTTGTTGCTTCAAATTGTTTTAAAAGTTCGACCAAATTGCATGGACTGGATCGCGAGTAAAAACTGGTCGATAATATTAGAAAGTTATGTTTTTGTTTAACTGCAATAGTATCTGATATACTTCGAACAATTATTTTACATTCTAATATGATATCAAATTAATCAAAATGAATATACACTAGATAATTCTTAAAATTATTAGATGTATAGTATTATACAAAAATTACTTATTACTTGAAATAAGATAGTAAGGCGAAAACTGAAGATTCAGTCTAATTCAGTCTTGAGCGAGGAATGATAATTGAGATGAAATTAAGTCAATCCTCCTATCGTGATGTATTAAATAATTAACCACATAATTTCCAGGAGGGATCACTTAGAAGTCTATCTGAAGGATGTATTGCTTGCAATGGGCCCATCAATCCCTGTTATTAACTATGCCCTCCCCCTACTCAACGCGGAGTAGGTCAAGTACGTAGATAGTAGATACTTATATCAATAATGTATGGAACAGCAGATCTATTAAACATTATTAGCTTGGTCACCAAACAGTTGAGGCATATTTAATGTAATAGCGGTCTTAATTTACAAAGTGAGGTTCTCAGAAATCTATAGTTAAATGTAAATGGCAAATTGGTTGGATCAGACCGTTGAATTGGATAATGAACGTTTTCAGGAAATCCAAGAATATGATTTCTTAAATATAATATAGTTGTTACTCCTTACTACATATGCAGATAAATTTATATAAATGGATAAATAGAAATATGTATGTAATTTGTATATGTACCCATATGCAGGCCCTTCTTAAATAACGTCATAAAGAAGGCTCTACGAGTATATCTTTATTAATTTCAAACCAATTTTGAGCTTGTTGAAATGAGTTTACCTTATATATTTTATCATGATTGGAGTATCTTATATTTTTTTAAACAAAATCTAAAGTTATCAATCAATAATTACATTACATAAGTAGAAGGAAGAGTTAAAAATCATCTATTTAAAGTCAACCTACATGAGGAGCAGGGAATAGTCACACAATTTGGAGTACATGACAATAAACAGTGTGATTAATGAACATTACTTTCTCAGTATCCGATTACTAGGTGTATCCCACGATTTTACATGCGTGAATCTATCTATCCATGTATCCATTATTACAAACATTTTCATATTTGTAACATATAATAAAATTAATATATTAATGTATTAACTACTTAAAAATCTACTCAAGTACTTTTATAAGTAAAATTTTTTTAATTACAATAATTCATCATATTATTTTATCAAGTCAAAATCGTTTAAGATTTCTAATAGACAACTCAAATTCAAATTTAAAATTAAACCTCTTATAACTAGTAAGTACGTAATATTCTAGATATTTTGCATAGTACAAAGGAAGCATTAGCTAAGGTGTGGCATAAGCGAAAGCTTCTAACTAGTATGTAATAATACATTTAATATTACCAAGTTAGTCTTTGAGCCCCTTTCCATTTAAATATGCGCATCTCTTCTCTACCATCACAAAGTATTAAATATGCTTCGTTTGACACTATACACTAGTAGATATATTATTTCTTATTCCTTTTACATTCTACTCCTAACCCTACTTGATCCTAGACAAATATCCCACATATATACGAAACCAAAACAAATTGTATTTGTACATTTTTCACTTGGCTGTAAAAGTATTGTAAATAGGTATTTGTTTCTTTTCTACATTTCACTTAGCAATAGAATAAATTGACTGTTGACTTATTAAATCGAAAATATTGGAATGTAAAACTGAATATTTGCAGGTTTAATATTGTACAAATTTTATTGCCGACAGAAATTTAATACATTATTTTATATAATAGATATTACGTTTTACACAAAGGCAAGTTATACCTAATCTGCAAAATACCTCCGATTACCCCATCGGGAATTATAGTCGTGAACATTATTATTATACTATAATATACTCATATACCTATAAACTACCAGATTTTTCATAATGTAGATTAACATAAAAATAAAATAAAAGCTACAAATAAATGTATTACTCTAACAGTTAATGTTGGTCCATCTTCGCTTCTAAATGAAACATAAGTATTCTGTATATTCTGTCGCAGTTGTAGAGATATTTGACATTCAAAATGTCTTACGACTGTGTATTTTTCGTACTTTATCCGGAGAATTTTATCGCCCATTCCGAAATCCGTCTGCACATACGGTCATTATTCAAGATCTAGTGTGATAAGTTGAGCCCAATGGAGCTGTATTCTCAAGACGTTTTTATTTGAAACAATTTATTTTCCATCTTTTTTATAATACTATCCGCCGTTTCCGGCGCTTTGTCCGCTTAAATTTGAATCTTTCTCATTGAATTATCTCATGAAAACGCATTTTGCATAACAATTTTCATTTTAATCGTCATTTGAATCCCTAATAAACAAAGTTTCTGTGTACTTTTTGTTTGAGCCAGTTTCTATACTTTCCCGTGGGTATAAAACGTTTTCCTGAAATAAATAGTGTTTTATGTGATAAAAATTAAAATATTAAATACAAAATATTAAAAAAGAAATGCTCTAGTAACTTTTTAGTTTTATTGTTATAATAAATTTGCTGTATTCTGTTCTTTATTAATTGATTTTTATCTGATAACTTTAGCATCATAGTCATTTGATTTTTTTAACAACATTGTATGTAATTATTGTTAATTTTGAAATAGGTGTATAACAAAATAATTTACTGAGTATCATTTTAGTCAACTTGGGACAAAATGTCCTACTATCATAAGTCAAATAAATGTCAAGCAACATAAAAACACGAATTCTACTCGCGCTTGATGATTTCTTTTTCAGTATTTTATTAAATTTAATATTTAATGTGTATATTATAATATACGAGTTTCCAATAACAGATTTCGTGAAGCATAAATCCCAGGCAACCCAACCGTTATTTAACTTCCAACTATATTGCTTGCGAAACACCACCAACTTTTGAAATTATATTAAATGAACTCTAGTACTCAGTAATAAGGTTTAGTTGGAATGAAACAAGTTATTTAGTCGTTTTTAACATGCACTTTCATAAATCCGGGTCCTGACCACTAGTATCACGGGCATGCATATAACAACTTGCGTAAATTGCTTCCTGACAATTTGACGTATAAAGTTGTGAAGATGAGATATGGTTGATTCTGTTTTCAAATACGAATGCCTGAACAAAAGTACTGTTGGCACGCTGCCTAAGTGTTTAACTGCCGATTGCTTCGTATCCACAGATGGCTATGCAAATTGGATTCCATACACCTGAGAATTAAATGTGGCTTTCAATCGGGTCGGTTCAATACCATTGCTAACATGTTTCATTTGTATTATTTATAACAAATTAATACCATGCTTACATCCTTTTATCCAATTAAAAAAATAAATATCTGTGGCATCTTAGCTTGATGGAATGAAGAAATGTAGGTGTGCTATTGATTTGCAAATGGAAGTAAAGGATTTTAGTTTAGGACCTATGTCGGAACTTGTTAATGTTCCATATTTATTATATGTAGATATTTTGCTACTCCGGGCACGAGAATATTTGAATATTTTCCGCTTGCAATGAACTTTGGCCCTATTGTTATATTATTTGCCGTTGCCAATTGCACACCTGCAATATCTTTAGTGTTACGAGTGATCATACGCAACGATAGCCACTCACCATCAGGTGAGCCGCAAGCTAGTTTGCCCCCTTTGTTATTAAAAATAATCATGTATCAGCTGTTATCTATTATTTGGCCCTATACATGCCTGTAATTATAAATTATAGTTGTTTACCAATTTATTGCTGAGTTATATAAATCACACAACAAATTTGATGGCACAAAATTTAATCCCATTTTACTTAATTTAACAACAATCCAACAATTTACTATCAGTAAACTATTACCGTAGCCTATGGATGCTTGCAGCACCAGCCTTGTCACGTACGTGTTTTAGGTACTAGAAAAACTTCGATAAGTCCATTTTAAAGAATCCTGTACATATCACAAGGGAAAACCTCGGTAAACCTTATCCTATATCCTGTATATTCATATGGATTTCAAACCAAAACAAATTAAATAGAAAACTTTCAAATACAATAACTATTAAGGAAATAAAATGGAGATGTCCTGTGAATGTGACAAAATAACAGTCAAGAACTATTGTTTCCCTGAGGAAAAATGTGAAGATGTCTATCTATCAATATGGACATAGGATGTGGAAACAGTAATGACCTACTTAAAACGGTAGCCTCACGCTTGCATTCCCAATGCGATGCGAGCGTCCTGACTACTTCCGACCCTTCCGCCACAATTTATTTGTTATGTGTCCGTTTTTGTTGTTCACAATAATAATAAATAAACATGAATAGGGCCTCCAATACGACCCACAGTCAGTTTCTGTTACAGCTCTCTATAGACCTTACCACTAAAATTTCATGAATGTACCCGGCGTAAATAATAATGCACTGGCCTGGAAAATTTCGCGATTTCAATTCATATAATATAAACTTCTGCTCTAGGTTTAGTAAAATATTCACTATTAGACTAATTTAAATCTATATTTAAGCCACCCCCTAAAGTAGATAATATAAGGATTCGTTAATTTTGTGATTTGTCTTAGAAATTTGTAATATTACGTTGGAGCTTAATATTAACGAAAGTATTTTTGCTCAAAAATAATTAGGGAATTTGGTAAAACTTTTAAATTATATTGAACTATATGTAATACTATATTTCCATTTTTGAAGATAAGACACAATGATCTTTTTATCTTACTAAATTAATGAAATGATAACTATACAATATGGGTTATAATGAATGAATAAATGAAAACTCTTTTAAACAAAGGAACAATTTCCTTCAATAGGTGTATCTTTAAAACTGGTAGGTATGTGTTATATCGTAATACTCCATCTAGAAGTGCTCTGTTTCATTGGTCCTACTTTTGAAATCTACTTGTCTGAAATAGCGGCCAAAAAGCTACACTTAATTGTAAAACCGCCAGTTTTGTTTTTTTAACTCTTACATTATCCTCTCCACGAGTATTTTGTTTGTCAATATAGAATCTATATTTTTTTTGCTAGAACTTATACAAATATAGAATCTATTGGACTCTCTATCATTCATTTTATATACAATGATGTCTACTTTTTGATAATGTTATATTATTTATACAGGGATAGACGTTGTGCTGTAAAAATCCATAATAACCAGATACTTACTCAGTCTAACACAACAATATACAACAAAAATAAATGCCTCACATAAAAGAGTTGATAGCATCCAGAATATAGCTCCATATTCCACACCTATCTGGCATCATTTCCTCTTCTGTCAATTTTATGAGGGAATAAAGTTTCATACTATATGTGACTTAATAACAAACTTTTTTGAAGAACACTTCGTAAAAGATTTAAAGTTACATTTTCATTATAAAAGTCCACTATAAAAGTTGCAAACTTCGTGTAACGGAACCGCGTTGATTTTGAACAGTTTGTTTAGGAACTGGGGTCCCAGAGGCGATAAAAAGTTTCACGGATAAAAGGCCAAATTGCTTTTGCTGGATATCTTCTAATTTCAAAGACGTTTGCTTTGAGTTCTGCGGTAAATAGAAGCTGATATTTCAAAGATTCAGCACACAAAAATTTATTTATTTTAGGAATCAAAATTTATTCAGCAGTCAATCGACACTTTATTAAAAATATTAATTAGCAAAAATTTTAACATTGTATTTCCAAAAGTTCTTTACGTTATATGACGACAAACGGCCGGTTTTTGCCGCATAATTAAAATTAATGTCAACTTCAGAGAAACCATGTTCTGAATTTTGACGCAAAAAAGGGTTTGTTTCTCAATTTATTGAATTTTATAACTTTATGGGATGGGCTATATACTTTCAAATATACTTACCGATATATTACTTTACCTATTAGGAAATATGTAATTAACAAACAATAAAATTATAGGTCTGTTGCAGCAATAAACACAATGAATAATAAAAGAAGTATTTACGACACTACAAAAAAAGTATGTGTTTACTTTGCCTTCTTGTACAAAATTATAAAATTTTCCCAGTTCGCTATTGTTATTCATCTACGTATTGTAATTTTTGGTTTGTTTACTTCACTTTACAAATGCTTTCATTATGTGGCCTATAAATCAGTTTTACATTAACTCACAACAGAGCTTGTAACATTTAGTAATACGAGTTGTATTATATGGTTTCCTTAATTACGATGATTTATCAGTTTGGTTGATATCAGTAGTTTAAAACCTCACGTGTTCATAAAATAAAAAAAAAACTTTCCTCCTAGACAGTACTGATTACCATTCCAAATTAACAGCCCTTTTATTCTAATTCAAGCGAACAAGCCCGCATTTATAAAATATTTTTTTTAATTACCGCGTAAACTCATACCATACCATACCTTCCTCATCATTATCATCATATTAGCTTTTAACTGTCCACTGCTGAATATAAGCCTCCCCCTAGGGGGGATTTGCCAGTAGTTGCCACGCTTGGTAAGCAGATTGGCAACCGCAGTAGGGCTTTGCAAAAGTTTTAAGAGGGACACTGCTGCCCATCCCGCGATCCTAAGTTCCCTTAATAATAATAGTTAATATACCATAAGTTCCCAAAATTACCATGTACTCGTATACTTATACATGGTAATTAAAAAAAATCGAATATTTAAACTATGTGATATAGGCATATATATTATGAGACAAAATAACAAAATTTAGAAAGAAAACCAATAGAGTCAGACCTGCGCCAAATTACAAAACCTTCCTAAATTGGGTCGACCTAGAATTGTTTCCGGGACTTTATTTACGGAAAGCAATGTCTAGCCAATACGGTGCGGTAGTCGTTAATAAATTATGTAATTATAATATACCTTGCACTATATAGCATAATACCGATATCATTAGTATGATTTTAAGGCAGTGTTCTACTTGTTTAACTATAGATTTAAAAAACTTCGTTTAATATTTTCGAGGTTCATGCGTGTATGAGAGCTTTTTTTTTTTTTCACTAAAACTAAACATCTAAATAGATTCTAATGTATTCTAACATATTGCTAGGATCCTTATAATTCCTTTTTTGGCAGAACAATTATGTTTAATTAATTTGGAGAACAAAATGTACTTATTCGCAGAGAAACATAGGTAACAAAAGTTGTTGAACTAATGTAGAAGACTTAAGTGTGTTTGTCACTTTTCGATCCATAAATCGTTGTAGAAATTATAATCTAAAGCAAGAATATTCAATTTCACTGTTGCATTACTCTTGTAACAGAATGCTTATGATTTCTATATCGATACCATATTGTATACGAAACTATAAAGAATTCAATATATTAATGTATTTCTTAAAAAAAAAATATTCCCTTAGCTCCAGTTATCATAATAGGTTTATATTTGTTATTCCAACTCGAGGCTGGAATAACAAATACAAACCTTTTATGATAGCGTTTAAAAATATATAATATGATACTGAAATACTTCATATTGTAAGTTCATAATGTAATATAATTGATGATGACCTATATAAAAATATTATGTATTTCAAATACACATGATAATAAATAAATTATCATTTTCTTGAGGTACCAATAATATTTTCGTAATGCTTTAGTTAGTAATAGAATAATATCTGTATGTCAATCATAAAGCGAAACATATACATCTATGTAATTCATAATTCACAATCCAAATTAATAAGGAATTTTTATCGATATTTGTTAATAAAATTTCATTAAAACATATTTTTTATATAAAAAGAAATGAAAAAATCTGGTGGCCCGCCTGATTCAAGTGATAATTTAATGAAATAATGATTTATTTAAATCGCCATGTACCTATAGGTATTCTTTTGTCCTTACTAATATTATACAAAGAAGTTACTTAGCTTATTCGGTTGTTTATTTCCTTTTAATACTTTAACATTTTAGCCACTTATAAAATTTGGCATACACTTTGTATTTGGTATATAAAGGAGAAAGGTCAATTTTTATGATGGTCGCGCCAACGAAATCTCGAGTACAAATAATATGTTAATGCAAGGGTAGATCAGGATTTTTCAAAGTATGGGTCGCAACCCCCTAGGGGTCCCCAAACCCCTAGAGGTGGTCGCACAAGGTCGCGAAACCGTAAAAAAATAATAGTTACGCAACGTATTGGATGTCTACTTTAGGTATTCCATTACGTATTATTTATTTTATTGTGTTTAACCGATGCCTAAATATGAAAAGAAATAAAAATATATGATATTCGTAATATAATAAAATACATACATGTTAGGAACCGCGGAAGTTACGGGGTCGCAACATATTCTTACATACTAAAGTGGATCGCGCCAAGAAAAGTTTCAAAAACATTGACTTAAATAATATAGGCTAGGCTATATATTGTAAATAACGGGTCTAAAATTTCTTGTTCCAAACCCAATCATCCGTTATGGAAAACCTAATATATTATTCAATAAAATTATTTATCCTACACTTTAGAACTTTTTCCATTTCAAAGTAACTATACTTATTGTGTCCTTTTTCTACCCACATCTGTCTTCATGTACTTATTC